CCCAGCCTCTCGCCCAGCCGACTGGAAGCTCGCAGGGGGCAGTGGGCAGGGGTAGCAGCGCAGACGCTCCTGCCCCTGCCACAGAGCCAGGAGGGGGCCTGCTCTGAGGACCAGAGCCTCTGGGACATCTCCAGCCTCTTAGAGCGCTGCCAAGGCCCAGAAAACACACCCCAAAGCTGCAGTAGTGGCGCAGCAAGTAGCTCTGGCTCCCTCCCATCTGAGGCATGGTCAGAGCCCTGGGACTCTTCATCGGCCACGTCCACATCCACCTCCACGGACTGAGCTGCTGGGGGCAGGCTGGCACGTGGCCTTACCACCTGCAGCTGCACTTGAAGGAAGAGGCCTTTTTCCAACTAGACAAAGCCCAAAGAAGAACTTGGGGCAACTGCAGGCCCTCAGGGGGGCCACTTGCTGGCAGGACGACTTGCTGGCGTGGGACAGACAGTCTTTGGAGCGCTGGCGAGTCAAGCCCTCACCTACAGCTCTCTCAGCACAGCGGCCCTCTCTCTTCAGGGAGGCACTCCGGGCTCTGCGCAGGGCGTCCCGCTGGCCCTGCCTGGCGGGACGGGATGGCGGCTCCCAGGGGGTGGCGGTGACCGGACTGACATCCACCTGATGGCCGGTCACCAGTGGTGTCGCCCAGGGCTCGGTGGTGGGGTCAGTCCTCTTGGTCTCTTGCCTTGGATTGCCCAGTCATCCAGGACTTCACCTGACTGCCACCATTTTTCCAAAACCATGGCTAGTGGCCTAGCAACTTCGTCTGCCAGCTCCCTCAGGACCTGCCGATGGAGCTCAGCGGGTCCCTTGTGCGCATTCAGGTGCCTTCCACGCTCTCCAACCTGATCCTCTGCTGCAGGGGACTTAGGCTCTTCTTCTGCCAGTTCCTGCCTTTGCCTTTCTCCACCTGGGCGGCGTGGCTGGAGCACTTGCTGTCCAAGGCTGAAGCACAGAAGACATCGAGAGCCTCAGCCTTCTCTTTGTGCCGGACAGCCACGTCTGCCAGTTCCTTCTGGAGAGGGCCCACCTTCTCCCTAGGCGGTCTTTAGAAAGATAGCCTTAGAAGCCCTTCTTGTTCTCCTGGAGAGCTCTGGCCAGACTCAAGTCGAGCTGGGCCTTGGCTTTCCCACCCTTGTCCCCAGCTTCCCTATCCTTGTCCCCAGCTTCCCTACCCTTGTCCCCATCCTCCCAGGCCACCTGTCCTTGTTTCCATTCCCTCAAATAGGAGAAGTCCCGTTAAGTTCTGTAGCTTCAAGTAGGGGTAGGCAAGAATTAGTCCAGTTAAGTCCCATAGGATAAAGTAGGGCTAGGTCTTCCTAGTGCTCTCCACTTGAATTTCAAAGGACAAGCTAAAGGCCGCCTCATGCTTTCTAGTCCCGCTTCATGACAAAAATTACCAGCGGTGCTTTAGCAGGGGCGCTGACCTAGGAGAGCCTAGTGCTTAAGGTAGACTTGGGGAAGTTTAAAATAAAGATTGGTTTCCACAGAAAAGGGTCAGGAAGCTTGTGTTTTGAAAGCGAATAATATTTCGGGGTTGGGCTAGCACTTGTTCCTTAGGCAGCTGAGCGGTGTCCCTTGGCGCGGGTGGGTGCAATAGAGCTGTCCTGGAGGCTGAAGGCGGCAGAGGGACGTCTGTAAGCAGAGCTGGGGAACAGCCAGCGAGTGGGTCTTTCCTTCTTGGAAGCACAAGTTTGTTTTTCAGGATCTCCTGAGGTTGGTGTGCTCCTGCCCTCCATTTTAGAAGGAGGAGTTCTTGGAAGACGTGTCTTGCGGGGCTGGGCCGCTGCTAAAGGACAACAGAATATCGAGAGGCCTTTCTTGAAATAAAACTACTGCTTTGACCAAGAAGCGGCGCTCCTTGATTTGGGGGGGAAAAAAAAACCTCCTGAAGACCCAAGCCTTTCAGTTGCCGGGGCCAGCGTGCGTTGGGTGGGGCGAAGGAGAAGGGCGCTGCCTGGGGCGGGAGGGGTGCGGGGACGAGAGGGGGAAGTCCTGCCGTGGGCTGGGGCAGTGTGGCCATGCGGGGCTGGGCCTGTGAGTTGGGGGGATCCCGGCCGGCGGTGCCAGAGAGGGCTGAGTGGAAGGGGTGGCAGGCTGTTGGGCCATCTACCTGCTCTGAAGCCGCTGGGCAAGCCCCCGTTGCCTGCTGCACGCAGACGTCGTCGGACGTGAGGCAGCGTGCTGGAGAGAGGGCGAGGAGGAACGCAGAGGAGAGGGCCGGGCGCCTGCTGCTTTGAAAGTCAGCAGAAAGCTCATGGAGTTCTTCTCCCAACAAACTAAAGTGATGCCCTTTCCCTCAAGTTCTTCTCCCTCCTTTTGGCTTTTCTTGCCTTCTCTTCTTTCTTACCCTTTGCTCTTTCTTACTCTTTTGGAAGTCACATACAGATGGAGTAGTTACCTTTCAAAACGCTGACCAGCAATTGGCTCTTGCAGGACACTCTTTCTTTTGATCCTAAAAGAAGCTCAGGACTCTTTGGCTTTCTGCCATAACCTCTTTGCCCAAGCAGAGCACCTTCTGGCAGGATGGACCTTTCTTCTCTACAAAGCAATAGGAAAGTGACAACCAGCATCATGCGAGAACAGAAGCTGCTGTGCAAGAGCAGTCAGCTGTTTGACCCAAAAGGCTGTGGCTGACAGCTCCTAACTTGCTGCTTCAGGGACGGCCTTGATCTGCTTCTGCTGGCATCCCAGATCCCTCAGATCCCCTCTCTCATCTGCACTCAGATTTGCTGCTTTGGTTGGCTGAAGCAATTGCAGCAAGCTGTTTCTTACCTGGGCTCCCATTCTGCTCACTGGAGAGACACGTGTCCTTGCACTGGCTCTGATCTACACTTGCTGGCCGCCAGTGCTCATTTCCCAAGGGCTGCTAAAAGCTCTTCTCTTCTCTATGTCAAGAGCGGGCGATTGAGCCCTTGGGCTTGTGAGGATGGCTTTAACTTGCCCCTGCTTTAGGTCTTTTTCATCTCCCTGTTGCCTGCTGATGCCAAGGCCAGCTTGGTTTGCCTTTCACCCGAAGACCAAATTCACGGTGCGGTTTCGACAGTTCACTTAAGGGCCTGCCAAGCCTGAGATGCTTTGGAGCTGCTTCCTATTCTTTCTGAAACCCAAAGTGCTCTTCCAATTTCTCTGGCAGGGTTCTGGCAGGGAAGAGGAACAGGACTATCTGCCGGGGGGCTTCCCAGAGGCCAAGATTGCCGTCTCTGTCAAGGAGAGTTGCCGGTGCTGGGTGCAAATGCAGTCCAAGCGTCTGACGGGTCCCTTCAGAGCGGGGTCCCACGTGTGCCAGTGGTGGAGGAGAAATGCAGAGGTGATGTGCTATGTTCTCTTGGCTTTGTTAGCAATGAGAGGGACGTCTCTAAGGGACGACCATTTCAAAAGTACTTGGACTAGTTGCCAGCAAGGCTGTAGCCCCGTCCCAGAAAGCCACCAAATTTGTCAGGTGTGATTTCCCCTTTGGTGCTGCTTTTAGCTAGGGGAGAGTTCATTTCTTCTCAGGAGCTGCTCCAGTGCTGTCGTTTGGATTTGGAATGAGAACGGTGTCGATAACACACTGATGTTTGGGTGTTTTGCTCAGTTGCGTTTCTCCTAAGGAAGTCAAGGAGCTCCAGAGGCAGAGGAGCACCGCACGCCTCTGGCTGCCGAGGCACCAGAGGGGGCAAGGACGGAAGAGTCTCTTGCCTTGTGGCAGCAGGCGAGAGCAGCAGGGGCAGGGAGCCAGGCAGCTGCCCCGCAGCGCCCCAGAGGCCGCGGCCACGCTGGGCTGGGCACGCTGCAGCGCGGGGCAGGGGTGAGCCTGAGCAGGCTTGCAGCTGGGAGACGCTGCATTCTTCTCTTGGTATTGGCTCAGAGCAAGTCAAGTGTGTCCGTGTGGCGAATGCAGAGGTGGAATGTCAGGACGCTGGAAGGATGCCCTGCCCCAATGCAGCCCCTTGGAGCCTCCTTGGCAGGCTCTTGGAGCTGCTGCCTGCAGCAGCTGGAAGCCAAAAGCAGCCCGGGAGCACTGCCCCACAGCACAGCCCGCGCAGCCCCTAAGCCAGTCTGAGAATGGCTGGCACCCTGGAAGCGCTGCCTGAGGGGCGGCAGTGGCCACAGGAGGCCAGAGCAAAGAAAAGCAGCACCAGGCGGCCCTTTGGTGCTGGTGGCTCTGCCCTCTGGGCATTCTTGTTAGGTGGACCTGCCCTGGCTCTAGGAGTGAGAGCTAGGCTGTTCTACCCTCTGGTTACTTTGTTTCCATCTGCATGCTGCTACAACTGTCCCAAGGGGAAGAAAACACACAGCCAAGCTGGAGCACTGGCAGGAGGGGAGCTGAGTTTCCTTCCAGCGCCAGGCATGGGCAGAGCCCTGGCACCTTCCAGAGTGCAGCCCCCCAGTGCATGACCCAGCTCTCCCCACCAGAAGCCCTCCCGTCAGGGCAAAGGCTCCCACTCTGCCCGACTCTTCCTGCTGGACCTCCAGGCCGTCCCCAAGGCCGCTGGAAGCTCTCAGTGGGCAGTGGGCAGGGGCAGCAGTGGAGGCAGTGCTGCCAGTGGCCCAGAGCCCGGATGGGGCCTGATGCCAGTGGCTCTGGGACATCTCCAGCCTCCTAGAGCGGTGCCAAGGGCAAGAAATCCCAGAGCAAGCGGTGTGCCATGGGGAAGAAGCAAGGAGAAAGAGCTGTCTCAGGAAAGCAGGAAAGCCAGCCAAGGGCACGCTGTCTGGGTTGGGCCCTTGTAGCCGGCGGTGTTGCTGAAACCCTGCACTGGGGGCTTACCAGGAGGGGCCCAGTTCCCCCAGCAGTGTGGGCAGAGACGCTGAGCTGCACAGCACATGGTCCTGCCCCAGCAAGTCCCCAGGACCCCCCTGTTGTCCCAAAGCGGGGTCTTTCCTGCTGGGTGCAAGAGGTCGATCCACACACACGGTCGAGAGCTTTGATTTATTGAAACTTCTGCACAGAAGGGCATGCTGGTTGGCAAGCCCTAAAGCTTAGCAAGGCAATTCTTGCCACAAGTAACTTCTCTCTCGGAGCCTGGGACATCCCGCGGCCACGGCTGGCTGCCCAGGGCGGTGGCAGCGCCAGCTGCGGGATGCAGACAGGGCTGAACCGCGGGGAGGCCGCGGGCAGCGGGGCCGTGCGGGAGCTGTTGGCTGGGACCGGCTGGAGCGTCTGGGAGGGGAAAGCGGGGGAGCCTTGTGCCGGGCACAGCCGGCTGCAAGTAGTTGCAACCAGCCGCAGCCAGTTGTGTGCCCCCTGCGCTGCTGTCCTCGGGGCGCCGGGAAATGGCCCATTGTGACAGCGGTGGTGCGTTGCCGAGCCCTTTGTGATGCGGGACCTGCTTGGGCCCGCGGGCCATTGTGACAGCGCGGGGCCCCGCCCTGCCCGGCAGGCTATTTAAGAGGGCAGAGCCCTGCAGTGCCCTCTTTCTCCCAGGAGAGCATCTGTCTCAGGAGGCAGCATCTCTCTTGGGGGCCTCAGCGGCAGAGGAAGTAGCCGACGCGATAGATTTGCAAGATGAAGAAGTTCATCGACTTGCAGCCGCGCAAGTGGCTGTCGAGCTGGCAGAGGAAGCACAAGGTGAAGGATGGGGGAGCAGAGAGCTGCCTTGGCAGCAGGGCTGGGCTTGCGGGCACGCAGAGGCCTGATGTGCCATGGCAATGGCCTCCATCCCACACCGCCTTCTCCTCCTCCTCCTCCCCGCAGGTGGACAACTGGCAGACGCAGGCAGCAGCGCAGGAAGAGGAGAAGAGCGCCTCTTCTGCTGCTGCCGTGGCTGAGCAGGTGAGAGCAGCAGGGGCAGAGAGCCAGGCAGCTGCCCCACGCAGCCCCAGAGGCGGCGGCCGCGCTGTGCTGGGCACCCTGCAGCGCGTGGCACGCGCCGCCCGCAGCAGGCTCGCGGTTGGGATGCGGCGGCGTGGCCAGAAGCCGGAGCCACAGAGGGAGGTGGAACAAGGTATGCAGGCAGCCAGAGCAGGAACATCCGCAGCAGCAGGGTCAGAGAGGCAGGACTCTGCCCTGCAAAGCCCCTGCTGTCCCCCCAGCCCCTTCCCAAGCCATCTGGAAGCCCTCAGTGGGCAGTGGGCCGGGGCAGCAGCAGGGGCAGTGCTGCCAGTGGCAGAGAGCCAGGACGAGGCCTGCTCTGAGGATGAGAGTCTCTGGGATATCTCCAGCCTCCTCCAGCTGTCAACAGGGGATGAAAACCCAGAGGAAAGCTGGAGTAGTGGGCAGGAATGTAGCTCAGTGTCCCTCCCACGCCAGGCCTGGGCAGAGCCCGGGAGCTCTTACACCAGGGCAAAGCCCCCCACCCCGGACGGCTTTCCAGACCGCTGCGCCCTCAGCGCCTTGCCAAGTGACCTGGAAGCTCTCAGTGGCCAGTGGGCAGGGAAAGCAGCCAAGGCCGTCCTCCCAGTGGCACCGAGCAAGGATGGGGCCTGCTCTGAGGAGCTCTCAGACATCTGCAGCCTCCTAGAGCTGCCCCAAGAAGAACGCAGCGGAGACCAAAGGTGGAGGAGGAGAGAAAAGAGGCTCCCCGTGCCCATGCCACGGGAGGCATGGTCAGAGCCCTGGGACCTTCAAGTGCCCACACCCAGAGCCCGTGCCCCAGTTCGTGGCAGCAGCAGCCCTTACATTAGGCCACAGGCCCCGAGCCCGGACGCCTGCCCCCCCAGCCCCTCGCCAAGCCAGCTGTCAGCTCCCAGTGGGCAGTGGGCAGGGCTCCCGCACGTCTCCAGGGACTCTGCAGGGCAAGAAAACACAGACCCACCGCTGTCCCCGGAAGAAGACAGCCACGAGGAGGAGCTGTCAGAGAAGAAAGGGGACGGCATCAAAATATACACCATCTGGGTCAAGCCCTCCCTCATTCCGGTGCTGCTGGAGCCTCAGCCTGCTGGCCAGGAAGGGCCCAAATGTCCCTGCGTCATCTGCGCAGAGGCGGCCCAAGAGGCAGTCGGGGACCCGCGCGGCACATCTCCCGCCCCGGCGGGTCCCAGGCACAGCCGGCCAACGGCTGCTGCCCCGCAGCGCCCCACAGGCTGCTGCCCCGCCGTGCTGGACACGCTGCAGCGCGCGGCACGTGCCACCCTGAGCAGGATCGCAGCTGTGATCCGGCGACGGGGCCGGCGGCCGGGGGAACAGCGGCACCCGGCTCAAGGCATGGACGCAGCCATGCTGGCAACAGCCCCAGCAGCAGGGGCAGAGAGCCAGGCAGCTGCCCTGCGCAGCCCCTGCCGCCTCCCCAGCCTCTCGCCCAGCCGACTGGAAGCTCGCAGGGGGCAGTGGGCAGGGGTAGCAGCGCAGACGCTCCTGCCCCTGCCACAGAGCCAGGAGGGGGCCTGCTCTGAGGACCAGAGCCTCTGGGACATCTCCAGCCTCTTAGAGCGCTGCCAAGGCCCAGAAAACACACCCCAAAGCTGCAGTAGTGGCGCAGCAAGTAGCTCTGGCTCCCTCCCATCTGAGGCATGGTCAGAGCCCTGGGACTCTTCATCGGCCACGTCCACATCCACCTCCACGGACTGAGCTGCTGGGGGCAGGCTGGCACGTGGCCTTACCACCTGCAGCTGCACTTGAAGGAAGAGGCCTTTTTCCAACTAGACAAAGCCCAAAGAAGAACTTTGGGCAACTGCAGGCCCTCAGGGGGGCCACTTGCTGGCAGGACGACTTGCTGGCGTGGGACAGACAGTCTTTGGAGCGCTGGCGAGTCAAGCCCTCACCTACAGCTCTCTCAGCACAGCGGCCCTCTCTCTTCAGGGAGGCACTCCGGGCTCTGCGCAGGGCGTCCCGCTGGCCCTGCCTGGCGGGACGGGATGGCGGCTCCCAGGGGGTGGCGGTGACCGGACTGACATCCACCTGATGGCCGGTCACCAGTGGTGTCGCCCAGGGCTCGGTGGTGGGGTCAGTCCTCTTGGTCTCTTGCCTTGGATTGCCCAGTCATCCAGGACTTCACCTGACTGCCACCATTTTTCCAAAACCATGGCTAGTGGCCTAGCAACTTCGTCTGCCAGCTCCCTCAGGACCTGCCGATGGAGCTCAGCAGGTCCCTTGTGCGCATTCAGGTGCCTTCCACGCTCTCCAACCCGATCCTCTGCTGCAGGGGACTTAGGCTCTTCTTCTGCCAGTCCCTGCCTTTGCCTTTCTCCACTTGGGTGGCGTGGCTGGAGCACTTGCTGTCCAAGGCTGAAGCACAGAAGACATCGAGAGCCTCAGCCTTCTCTTTGTGCCGGACAGCCACGTCTGCCAGTTCCTTCTGGAGAGGGCCCACCTTCTCCCTAGGCGGTCTTTAGAAAGATAGCCTTAGAAGCCCTTCTTGTTCTCCTGGAGAGCTCTGGCCAGACTCAAGTCGAGCTGGGCCTTGGCTTTCCCACCCTTGTCCCCAGCTTCCCTACCCTTGTCCCCAGCTTCCCTACCCTTGTCCCCATCCTCCCAGGCCACCTGCCCTTGTTTCCATTCCCTCAAATAGGAGAAGTCCCGTTAAGTTCTGTAGCTTCAAGTAGGGGTAGGCAAGAATTAGTCCAGTTAAGTCCCATAGGATAAAGTAGGGCTAGGTCTTCCTAGTGCTCTCCACTTGAATTTCAAAGGACAAGCTAAAGGCCGCCTCATGCTTTCTAGTCCCGCTTCATGACAAAAATTACCAGCGGTGCTTTAGCAGGGGCGCTGACCTAGGAGAGCCTAGTGCTTAAGGTAGACTTGGGGAAGTTTAAAATAAAGATTGGTTTCCACAGAAAAGGGTCAGGAAGCTTGTGTTTTGAAAGCGAATAATATTTCGGGGTTGGGCTAGCACTTGTTCCTTAGGCAGCTGAGCGGTGTCCCTTGGCGCGGGTGGGTGCAATAGAGCTGTCCTGGAGGCTGAAGGCGGCAGAGGGACGTCTGTAAGCAGAGCTGGGGAACAGCCAGCGAGTGGGTCTTTCCTTCTTGGAAGCACAAGTTTGTTTTTCAGGATCTCCTGAGGTTGGTGTGCTCCTGCCCTCCATTTTAGAAGGAGGAGTTCTTGGAAGACGTGTCTTGCGGGGCTGGGCCGCTGCTAAAGGACAACAGAATATCGAGAGGCCTTTCTTGAAATAAAACTACTGCTTTGACCAAGAAGCGGCGCTCCTTGATTTGGGGGGAAAAAAAAACCTCCTGAAGACCCAAGCCTTTCAGTTGCCGGGGCCAGCGTGCGTTGGGTGGGGCGAAGGAGAAGGGCGCTGCCCGGGGCGGGAGGGGTGCGGGGACGAGAGGGGGAAGTCCTGCCGTGGGCTGGGGCAGTGTGGCCATGCGGGGCTGGGCCTGTGAGTTGGGGGGATCCCGGCCGGCGGTGCCAGAGAGGGCTGAGTGGAAGGGGCGGCAGGCTGTTGGGCCATCTGCCGGCTCTGAAGCCGCTGGGCAAGCCCCCGTTGCCTGCTGCACGCAGACGTCGTCGGACGTGAGGCAGCGTGCTGGAGAGAGGGCGAGGAGGAACGCAGAGGAGAGGGCCGGGCGCCTGCTGCTTTGAAAGTCAGCAGAAAGCTCATGGAGTTCTTCTCCCAACAAACTAAAGTGATGCCCTTTCCCTCAAGTTCTTCTCCCTCCTTTTGGCTTTTCTTGCCTTCTCTTCTTTCTTACCCTTTGCTCTTTCTTACTCTTTTGGAAGTCACATACAGACGGAGTAGTTACCTTTCAAAACGCTGACCAGCAATTGGCTCTTGCAGGACACTCTTTCTTTTGATCCTAAAAGAAGCTCAGGACTCTTTGGCTTTCTGCCATAGCCTCTTTGCCCAAGCAGAGCACCTTCTGGCAGGATGGACCTTTCTTCTCTACAAAGCAATAGGAAAGTGACAACCAGCATCATGCGAGAACAGAAGCTGCTGTGCAAGAGCAGTCAGCTGTTTGACCCAAAAGGCTGTGGCTGACAGCTCCTAACTTGCTGCTTCAGGGACGGCCTTGATCTGCTTCTGCTGGCATCCCAGATCCCTCAGATCCCCTCTCTCATCTGCACTCAGATTTGCTGCTTTGGTTGGCTGAAGCAATTGCAGCAAGCTGTTTCTTACCTGGGCTCCCATTCTGCTCACTGGAGAGACACGTGTCCTTGCACTGGCTCTGATCTACACTTGCTGGCCGCCAGTGCTCATTTCCCAAGGGCTGCTAAAAGCTCTTCTCTTCTCTATGTCAAGAGCGGGCGATTGAGCCCTCGGGCTTGTGAGGATGGCTTTAACTTGCCCCTGCTTTAGGTCTTTTTCATCTCCCTGTTGCCTGCTGATGCCAAGGCCAGCTTGGTTTGCCTTTCACCCGAAGACCAAATTCACGGTGCGGTTTCGACAGTTCACTTAAGGGCCTGCCAAGCCTGAGATGCTTTGGAGCTGCTTCCTATTCTTTCTGAAACCCAAAGTGCTCTTCCAATTTCTCTGGCAGGGTTCTGGCAGGGAAGAGGAACAGGACTATCTGCCGGGGGGCTTCCCAGAGGCCAAGATTGCCGTCTCTGTCAAGGAGAGTTGCCGGTGCTGGGTGCAAATGCAGTCCAAGCGTCTGACGGGTCCCTTCAGAGCGGGGTCCCACGTGTGCCAGTGGTGGAGGAGAAATGCAGAGGTGATGTGCTATGTTCTCTTGGCTTTGTTAGCAATGAGAGGGACGTCTCTAAGGGACGACCATTTCAAAAGTACTTGGACTAGTTGCCAGCAAGGCTGTAGCCCCGTCCCAGAAAGCCACCAAATTTGTCAGGTGTGATTTCCCCTTTGGTGCTGCTTTTAGCTAGGGGAGAGTTCATTTCTTCTCAGGAGCTGCTCCAGTGCTGTCGTTTGGATTTGGAATGAGAACGGTGTCGATAACACACTGATGTTTGGGTGTTTTGCTCAGTTGCGTTTCTCCTAAGGAAGTCAAGGAGCTCCAGAGGCAGAGGAGCACCGCACGCCTCTGGCTGCCGAGGCACCAGAGGGGGCAAGGACGGAAGAGTCTCTTGCCTTGTGGCAGCAGGCGAGAGCAGCAGGGGCAGGGAGCCAGGCAGCTGCCCCGCAGCGCCCCAGAGGCCGCGGCCACGCTGGGCTGGGCACGCTGCAGCGCGGGGCAGGGGTGAGCCTGAGCAGGCTTGCAGCTGGGAGACGCTGCATTCTTCTCTTGGTATTGGCTCAGAGCAAGTCAAGTGTGTCCGTGTGGCGAATGCAGAGGTGGAATGTCAGGACGCTGGAAGGATGCCCTGCCCCAATGCAGCCCCTTGGAGCCTCCTTGGCAGGCTCTTGGAGCTGCTGCCTGCAGCAGCTGGAAGCCAAAAGCAGCCCGGGAGCACTGCCCCACAGCACAGCCCGCGCAGCCCCTAAGCCAGTCTGAGAATGGCTGGCACCCTGGAAGCGCTGCCTGAGGGGCGGCAGTGGCCACAGGAGGCCAGAGCAAAGAAAAGCAGCACCAGGCGGCCCTTTGGTGCTGGTGGCTCTGCCCTCTGGGCATTCTTGTTAGGTGGACCTGCCCTGGCTCTAGGAGTGAGAGCTAGGCTGTTCTACCCTCTGGTTACTTTGTTTCCATCTGCATGCTGCTACAACTGTCCCAAGGGGAAGAAAACACACAGCCAAGCTGGAGCACTGGGCAGGAGGGGAGCTGAGTTTCCTTCCAGCGCCAGGCATGGGCAGAGCCCTGGCACCTTCCAGAGTGCAGCCCCCCAGTGCATGACCCAGCTCTCCCCACCAGAAGCCCTCCCGTCAGGGCAAAGGCTCCCACTCTGCCCGACTCTTCCTGCTGGACCTCCAGGCCGTCCCCAAGGCCGCTGGAAGCTCTCAGTGGGCAGTGGGCAGGGGCAGCAGTGGAGGCAGTGCTGCCAGTGGCCCAGAGCCCGGATGGGGCCTGATGCCAGTGGCTCTGGGACATCTCCAGCCTCCTAGAGCGGTGCCAAGGGCAAGAAATCCCAGAGCAAGCGGTGTGCCATGGGGAAGAAGCAAGGAGAAAGAGCTGTCTCAGGAAAGCAGGAAAGCCAGCCAAGGGCACGCTGTCTGGGTTGGGCCCTTGTAGCCGGCGGTGTTGCTGAAACCCTGCACTGGGGGCTTACCAGGAGGGGCCCAGTTCCCCCAGCAGTGTGGGCAGAGACGCTGAGCTGCACAGCACATGTCCTGCCCCAGCAAGTCCCCAGGACCCCCCTGTTGTCCCAAAGCGGGGTCTTTCCTGCTGGGTGCAAGAGGTCGATCCACACACACGGTCGAGAGCTTTGATTTATTGAAACTTCTGCACAGAAGGGCATGCTGGTTGGCAAGCCCTAAAGCTTAGCAAGGCAATTCTTGCCACAAGTAACTTCTCTCTCTGAGCCTGGGACATCCCGCGGCCACGGCTGGCTGCCCAGGGCGGTGGCAGCGCCAGCTGCGGGATGCAGACAGGGCTGAACCGCGGGGAGGCCGCGGGCAGCGGGGCCGTGCGGGAGCTGTTGGCTGGGACCGGCTGGAGCGTCTGGGAGGGGAAAGCGGGGGAGCCTTGTGCCGGGCACAGCCGGCTGCAAGTAGTTGCAACCAGCCGCAGCCAGTTGTGTGCCCCCTGCGCTGCTGTCCTCGGGGCGCCGGGAAATGGCCCATTGTGACAGCGGTGGTGCGTTGCCGAGCCCTTTGTGATGCGGGACCTGCTTGGGCCCGCGGGCCATTGTGACAGCGCGGGGCCCCACCCTGCCCGGCAGGCTATTTAAGAGGGCAGAGCCCTGCAGTGCCCTCTTTCTCCCAGGAGAGCATCTGTCTCAGGAGGCAGCATCTCTCTTGGGGGCCTCAGCGGCAGAGGAAGTAGCCGACGCGATAGATTTGCAAGATGAAGAAGTTCATCGACTTGCAGCCGCGCAAGTGGCTGTCGAGCTGGCAGAGGAAGCACAAGGTGAAGGATGGGGGAGCAGAGAGCTGCCTTGGCAGCAGGGCTGGGCTTGCGGGCACGCAGAGGCCTGATGTGCCATGGCAATGGCCTCCATCCCACACCGCCTTCTCCTCCTCCTCCTCCCCGCAGGTGGACAACTGGCAGACGCAGGCAGCAGCGCAGGAAGAGGAGAAGAGCGCCTCTTCTGCTGCTGCCGTGGCTGAGCAGGTGAGAGCAGCAGGGGCAGAGAGCCAGGCAGCTGCCCCACGCAGCCCCAGAGGCGGCGGCCGCGCTGTGCTGGGCACCCTGCAGCGCGTGGCACGCGCCGCCCGCAGCAGGCTCGCGGTTGGGATGCGGCGGCGTGGCCAGAAGCCGGAGCCACAGAGGGAGGTGGAACAAGGTATGCAGGCAGCCAGAGCAGGAACATCCGCAGCAGCAGGGTCAGAGAGGCAGGACTCTGCCCTGCAAAGCCCCTGCTGTCCCCCCAGCCCCTTCCCAAGCCATCTGGAAGCCCTCAGTGGGCAGTGGGCCGGGGCAGCAGCAGGGGCAGTGCTGCCAGTGGCAGAGAGCCAGGACGAGGCCTGCTCTGAGGATGAGAGTCTCTGGGATATCTCCAGCCTCCTCCAGCTGTCAACAGGGGATGAAAACACAGAGGAAAGCTGGAGTAGTGGGCAGGAATGTAGCTCAGTGTCCCTCCCACGCCAGGCCTGGGCAGAGCCCGGGAGCTCTTACACCAGGGCAAAGCCCCCCACCCCGGACGGCTTTCCAGACCGCTGCGCCCTCAGCGCCTTGCCAAGTGACCTGGAAGCTCTCAGTGGCCAGTGGGCAGGGAAAGCAGCCAAGGCCGTCCTCCCAGTGGCACCGAGCAAGGATGGGGCCTGCTCTGAGGAGCTCTCAGACATCTGCAGCCTCCTAGAGCTGCCCCAAGAAGAACGCAGCGGAGACCAAAGGTGGAGGAGGAGAGAAAAGAGGCTCCCCGTGCCCATGCCACGGGAGGCATGGTCAGAGCCCTGGGACCTTCAAGTGCCCACACCCAGAGCCCGTGCCCCAGTTCGTGGCAGCAGCAGCCCTTACATTAGGCCACAGGCCCCGAGCCCGGACGCCTGCCCCCCCAGCCCCTCGCCAAGCCAGCTGTCAGCTCCCAGTGGGCAGTGGGCAGGGCTCCCGCACGTCTCCAGGGACTCTGCAGGGCAAGAAAACACAGACCCACCGCTGTCCCCGGAAGAAGACAGCCACGAGGAGGAGCTGTCAGAGAAGAAAGGGGACGGCATCAAAATATACACCATCTGGGTCAAGCCCTCCCTCATTCCGGTGCTGCTGGAGCCTCAGCCTGCTGGCCAGGAAGGGCCCAAATGTCCCTGCGTCATCTGCGCAGAGGCGGCCCAAGAGGCAGTCGGGGACCCGCGCGGCACATCTCCTGCCCCGGCGGGTCCCAGGCACAGCCGGCCAACGGCTGCTGCCCCGCAGCGCCCCACAGGCTGCTGCCCCGCCGTGCTGGACACGCTGCAGCGCGCGGCACGTGCCACCCTGAGCAGGATCGCAGCTGTGATCCGGCGACGGGGCCGGCGGCCGGGGGAACAGCGGCACCCGGCTCAAGGCATGGACGCAGCCATGCTGGCAACAGCCCCAGCAGCAGGGGCAGAGAGCCAGGCAGCTGCCCTGCGCAGCCCCTGCCGCCTCCCCAGCCTCTCGCCCAGCCGACTGGAAGCTCGCAGGGGGCAGGGGGCAGGGGTAGCAGCGCAGACGCTCCTGCCCCTGCCACAGAGCCAGGAGGGGGCCTGCTCTGAGGACCAGAGCCTCTGGGACATCTCCAGCCTCTTAGAGCGCTGCCAAGGCCCAGAAAACACACCCCAAAGCTGCAGTAGTGGCGCAGCAAGTAGCTCTGGCTCCCTCCCATCTGAGGCATGGTCAGAGCCCTGGGACTCTTCATCGGCCACGTCCACATCCACCTCCACGGACTGAGCTGCTGGGGGCAGGCTGGCACGTGGCCTTACCACCTGCAGCTGCACTTGAAGGAAGAGGCCTTTTTCCAACTAGACAAAGCCCAAAGAAGAACTTGGGCAACTGCAGGCCCTCAGGGGGGCCACTTGCTGGCAGGACGACTTGCTGGCGTGGGACAGACAGTCTTTGGAGCGCTGGCGAGTCAAGCCCTCACCTACAGCTCTCTCAGCACAGCGGCCCTCTCTCTTCAGGGAGGCACTCCGGGCTCTGCGCAGGGCGTCCCGCTGGCCCTGCCTGGCGGGACGGGATGGCGGCTCCCAGGGGGTGGCGGTGACCGGACTGACATCCACCTGATGGCCGGTCACCAGTGGTGTCGCCCAGGGCTCGGTGGTGGGGTCAGTCCTCTTGGTCTCTTGCCTTGGATTGCCCAGTCATCCAGGACTTCACCTGACTGCCACCATTTTTCCAAAACCATGGCTAGTGGCCTAGCAACTTCGTCTGCCAGCTCCCTCAGGACCTGCCGATGGAGCTCAGCGGGTCCCTTGTGCGCATTCAGGTGCCTTCCACGCTCTCCAACCTGATCCTCTGCTGCAGGGGACTTAGGCTCTTCTTCTGCCAGTCCCTGCCTTTGCCTTTCTCCACCTGGGCGGCGTGGCTGGAGCACTTGCTGTCCAAGGCTGAAGCACAGAAGACATCGAGAGCCTCAGCCTTCTCTTTGTGCCGGACAGCCACGTCTGCCAGTTCCTTCTGGAGAGGGCCCACCTTCTCCCTAGGCGGTCTTTAGAAAGATAGCCTTAGAAGCCCTTCTTGTTCTCCTGGAGAGCTCTGGCCAGACTCAAGTCGAGCTGGGCCTTGGCTTTCCCACCCTTGTCCCCAGCTTCCCTACCCTTGTCCCCAGCTTCCCTACCCTTGTCCCCATCCTCCCAGGCCACCTGTCCTTGTTTCCATTCCCTCAAATAGGAGAAGTCCCGTTAAGTTCTGTAGCTTCAAGTAGGGGTAGGCAAGAATTAGTCCAGTTAAGTCCCATAGGATAAAGTAGGGCTAGGTCTTCCTAGTGCTCTCCACTTGAATTTCAAAGGACAAGCTAAAGGCCGCCTCATGCTTTCTAGTCCCGCTTCATGACAAAAATTACCAGCGGTGCTTTAGCAGGGGCGCTGACCTAGGAGAGCCTAGTGCTTAAGGTAGACTTGGGGAAGTTTAAAATAAAGATTGGTTTCCACAGAAAAGGGTCAGGAAGCTTGTGTTTTGAAAGCGAATAATATTTCGGGGTTGGGCTAGCACTTGTTCCTTAGGCAGCTGAGCGGTGTCCCTTGGCGCGGGTGGGTGCAACAGAGCTGTCCTGGAGGCTGAAGGCGGCAGAGGGACGTCTGTAAGCAGAGCTGGGGAACAGCCAGCGAGTGGGTCTTTCCTTCTTGGAAGCACAAGTTTGTTTTTCAGGATCTCCTGAGGTTGGTGTGCTCCTGCCCTCCATTTTAGAAGGAGGAGTTCTTGGAAGACGTGTCTTGCGGGGCTGGGCCGCTGCTAAAGGACAACAGAATATCGAGAGGCCTTTCTTGAAATAAAACTACTGCTTTGACCAAGAAGCGGCGCTCCTTGATTTGGGGGGAAAAAAAAAACCTCCTGAAGACCCAAGCCTTTCAGTTGCCGGGGCCAGCGTGCGTTGGGTGGGGCGAAGGAGAAGGGCGCTGCCTGGGGCGGGAGGGGTGCGGGGACGAGAGGGGGAAGTCCTGCCGTGGGCTGGGGCAGTGTGGCCATGCGGGGCTGGGCCTGTGAGTTGGGGGGATCCCGGCCGGCGGTGCCAGAGAGGGCTGAGTGGAAGGGGCGGCAGGCTGTTGGGCCATCTGCCGGCTCTGAAGCCGCTGGGCAAGCCCCCGTTGCCTGCTGCACGCAGACGTCGTCGGACGTGAGGCAGCGTGCTGGAGAGAGGGCGAGGAGGAACGCAGAGGAGAGGGCCGGGCGCCTGCTGCTTTGAAAGTCAGCAGAAAGCTCATGGAGTTCTTCTCCCAACAAACTAAAGTGATGCCCTTTCCCTCAAGTTCTTCTCCCTCCTTTTGGCTTTTCTTGCCTTCTCTTCTTTCTTACCCTTTGCTCTTTCTTACTCTTTTGGAAGTCACATACAGACGGAGTAGTTACCTTTCAAAACGCTGACCAGCAATTGGCTCTTGCAGGACACTCTTTCTTTTGATCCTAAAAGAAGCTCAGGACTCTTTGGCTTTCTGCCATAGCCTCTTTGCCCAAGCAGAGCACCTTCTGGCAGGATGGACCTTTCTTCTCTACAAAGCAATAGGAAAGTGACAACCAGCATCATGCGAGAACAGAAGCTGCTGTGCAAGAGCAGTCAGCTGTTTGACCCAAAAGGCTGTGGCTGACAGCTCCTAACTTGCTGCTTCAGGGACGGCCTTGATCTGCTTCTGCTGGCATCCCAGATCCCTCAGATCCCCTCTCTCATCTGCACTCAGATTTGCTGCTTTGGTTGGCTGAAGCAATTGCAGCAAGCTGTTTCTTACCTGGGCTCCCATTCTGCTCACTGGAGAGACACGTGTCCTTGCACTGGCTCTGATCTACACTTGCTGGCCGCCAGTGCTCATTTCCCAAGGGCTGCTAAAAGCTCTTCTCTTCTCTATGTCAAGAGCGGGCGATTGAGCCCTCGGGCTTGTGAGGATGGCTTTAACTTGCCCCTGCTTTAGGTCTTTTTCATCTCCCTGTTGCCTGCTGATGCCAAGGCCAGCTTGGTTTGCCTTTCACCCGAAGACCAAATTCACGGTGCGGTTTCGACAGTTCACTTAAGGGCCTGCCAAGCCTGAGATGCTTTGGAGCTGCTTCCTATTCTTTCTGAAACCCAAAGTGCTCTTCCAATTTCTCTGGCAGGGTTCTGGCAGGGAAGAGGAACAGGACTATCTGCCGGGGGGCTTCCCAGAGGCCAAGATTGCCGTCTCTGTCAAGGAGAGTTGCCGGTGCTGGGTGCAAATGCAGTCCAAGCGTCTGACGGGTCCCTTCAGAGCGGGGTCCCACGTGTGCCAGTGGTGGAGGAGAAATGCAGAGGTGATGTGCTATGTTCTCTTGGCTTTGTTAGCAATGAGAGGGACGTCTCTAAGGGACGACCATTTCAAAAGTACTTGGACTAGTTGCCAGCAAGGCTGTAGCCCCGTCCCAGAAAGCCACCAAATTTGTCAGGTGTGATTTCCCCTTTGGTGCTGCTTTTAGCTAGGGGAGAGTTCATTTCTTCTCAGGAGCTGCTCCAGTGCTGTCGTTTGGATTTGGAATGAGAACGGTGTCGATAACACACTGATGTTTGGGTGTTTTGCTCAGTTGCGTTTCTCCTAAGGAAGTCAAGGAGCTCCAGAGGCAGAGGAGCACCGCACGCCTCTGGCTGCCGAGGCACCAGAGGGGGCAAGGACGGAAGAGTCTCTTGCCTTGTGGCAGCAGGCGAGAGCAGCAGGGGCAGGGAGCCAGGCAGCTGCCCCGCAGCGCCCCAGAGGCCGCGGCCACGCTGGGCTGGGCACGCTGCAGCGCGGGGCAGGGGTGAGCCTGAGCAGGCTTGCAGCTGGGAGACGCTGCATTCTTCTCTTGGTATTGGCTCAGAGCAAGTCAAGTGTGTCCGTGTGGCGAATGCAGAGGTGGAATGTCAGGACGCTGGAAGGATGCCCTGCCCCAATGCAGCCCCTTGGAGCCTCCTTGGCAGGCTCTTGGAGCTGCTGCCTGCAGCAGCTGGAAGCCAAAAGCAGCCCGGGAGCACTGCCCCACAGCACAGCCCGCGCAGCCCCTAAGCCAGTCTGAGAATGGCTGGCACCCTGGAAGCGCTGCCTGAGGGGCGGCAGTGGCCACAGGAGGCCAGAGCAAAGAAAAGCAGCACCAGGCGGCCCTTTGGTGCTGGTGGCTCTGCCCTCTGGGCATTCTTGTTAGGTGGACCTGCCCTGGCTCTAGGAGTGAGAGCTAGGCTGTTCTACCCTCTGGTTACTTTGTTTCCATCTGCATGCTGCTACAACTGTCCCAAGGGGAAGAAAACACACAGCCAAGCTGGAGCACTGGGCAGGAGGGGAGCTGAGTTTCCTTCCAGCGCCAGGCATGGGCAGAGCCCTGGCACCTTCCAGAGTGCAGCCCCCCAGTGCATGACCCAGCTCTCCCCACCAGAAGCCCTCCCGTCAGGGCAAAGGCTCCCACTCTGCCCGACTCTTCCTGCTGGACCTCCAGGCCGTCCCCAAGGCCGCTGGAAGCTCTCAGTGGGCAGTGGGCAGGGGCAGCAGTGGAGGCAGTGCTGCCAGTGGCCCAGAGCCCGGATGGGGCCTGATGCCAGTGGCTCTGGGACATCTCCAGCCTCCTAGAGCGGTGCCAAGGGCAAGAAATCCCAGAGCAAGCGGTGTGCCATGGGGAAGAAGCAAGGAGAAAGAGCTGTCTCAGGAAAGCAGGAAAGCCAGCCAAGGGCACGCTGTCTGGGTTGGGCCCTTGTAGCCGGCGGTGTTGCTGAAACCCTGCACTGGGGGCTTACCAGGAGGGGCCCAGTTCCCCCAGCAGTGTGGGCAGAGACGCTGAGCTGCACAGCACATGTCCTGCCCCAGCAAGTCCCCAGGACCCCCCTGTTGTCCCAAAGCGGGGTCTTTCCTGCTGGGTGCAAGAGGTCGATCCACACACACGGTCGAGAGCTTTGATTTATTGAAACTTCTGCACAGAAGGGCATGCTGGTTGGCAAGCCCTAAAGCTTAGCAAGGCAATTCTTGCCACAAGTAACTTCTCTCTCTGAGCCTGGGACATCCCGCGGCCACGGCTGGCTGCCCAGGGCGGTGGCAGCGCCAGCTGCGGGATGCAGACAGGGCTGAACCGCGGGGAGGCCGCGGGCAGCGGGGCCGTGCGGGAGCTGTTGGCTGGGACCGGCTGGAGCGTCTGGGAGGGGAAAGCGGGGGAGCCTTGTGCCGGGCACAGCCGGCTGCAAGTAGTTGCAACCAGCCGCAGCCAGTTGTGTGCCCCCTGCGCTGCTGTCCTCGGGGCGCCGGGAAATGGCCCATTGTGACAGCGGTGGTGCGTTGCCGAGCCCTTTGTGATGCGGGACCTGCTTGGGCCCGCGGGCCATTGTGACAGCGCGGGGCCCCACCCTGCCCGGCAGG